ATCTACTTGCTTCACCTCTGGGTTTGCAGCTATGTCCTGGGTCTATTTCTTAACTCCTCAGATAGCTTCCTAAAAATGGTAACTTTGTCTCATTATTTTTACTTTCTTCCTCCAGTGCCTTCAGCAAGGTTTTTGTACAGGATGATGCTCAGAACTTAGTTTTATTTATTTTTTATTTGTATTTATTTTTTAAAACGTTGTTGTTGTTTAAATATTCTCTATACCCAGCGTGGGGCTAGAACTTAAAATCCTGAAATCAAGAGTCACATGCTCCACGGACTGAGCCAGCCAGGCACCCCTCGGAACTTAGTTTTAAACCATCCTCCCAAATGCCTGGAAACCCAGTGGAGTGCCAGGTCCTCTATTGTGGAAATGGAAATACAGCTGGTTCTGGGATGAGGCGGGGCTGTCTAGACAGAGATTCGAGCTCACAAAGATTCAATAACCCCAGCCCTATCCTTCCTGTACTGCCAGAGTACCCGACCCACCAGGAAATGGGGCTAAGGGCTTGCAAAGATCTTCCTTTCCCAAGAGGTTGAGGGATATAGGAAAAATCTACAACCTATAATTTTCTAAAGAAGGTATCTACTCTTCTTACATATGTAGTTACTTCAGAGATCAAAATGCAAATTGGCTGTCTAGAACCCCAGGAGTAGAAGATAAAGGGCAAGGCTTTGAACTAACCAGGACCCTAGGGAGGTCAAGTCACTGGGGTCAGGCGGGCTGCAGTGGCTCCTTCCAGAAAAGCAAGACACTCCTACACACACATGTCCAGTGTCCAAATGTCCAGTGCCTTTTTGAGAAAACCTAATTTTGGATGCTTGCCCTGAGACTGCCCATCTAACCAACAGGCCCCACTTCTTCCTAGAGAGTACAGTAATAACAACGGCTGGAGTGACCACCATGGACCAGCCACTGTCAGACCTCGCCCGCACAGAAATACATAGCATCTTTGTTTTGCCTATGAAGATACTGAGGCTCAGAGCGGCTAAATAACCCGATAACCAAGGTTATAAAATTACTTATGTGTCTGGGGAGTGGAATGGGTCTAAATCCAAGGCCCATGATTCTTAAACTACAACAGCTGTTTCCAAATTGTGTTCAGAGGGTTCCCCATAAACTGCCACAGGGCAGGAGGCCAGCAGTCTGGGTTTCCCCTGTTCCCACACACATTGGCTAAAATCGTCACACATATGTCTGTTTTGTATACTGGAGTTTCATGAGTTAAAAATAAGTTTGAAAAGAACCACATGATGTTATGCTGCCCTGCTTGTGTCTTGGACTTTCTAAGAATCGAAACAGACTTTCTCATCGAACCACCACCCCAGGGCCCGGCAGAAAGGAATTGTCTCCAATGGGAAAAGACTGTGTAAGGGGCCAATTTCCTGGCACGTTCACCAAGTTAAACGTTCCTTCCCCTGGTTACATCCTTTGTTCCTTTCCAGTTCTTCGCCCTGTTCAGAGGGCTCCCCCAGCCAGCGCGCTGTCCCTGCTGTGGGAGGGGTGAGGGGAGGGAGGCAGGTTTCTGCAGGGTAGGTGTGCTCCTCTCAGAACACCCCCCGCAGCCCCACCTACCCCGTGAGTCAGAAGCCAGGAATGTGTGTGGGGGCAGCAGACAGGTATGTCACCCTGGGGGTGTCAGAGGCTGATTCGTGTCTCATCTCCACCCAATCTTCTCCTTACTGCTCTTTGGGAAATTTAACTCATTATCTGTCTAGAGATAAAAGAGGAAATTCCAGACTCAGAAAAGCATGGAGTCTTCAATCTGTGGCTAGGTATAATACCGAATACATCAGATTATGGCTTTCAAGGAGTATTTGTTATAAGAGAAGAAGGAAGACACATCCCCCGGCTTTCTTCCCTCAAGTAAAGTTAACCGGAAATATCCTTGTCTGACTGTAGAGGGGCCTGATCTTTAGCTCAGAATAGGCTACGTGACCATGGGTATGACTGAAGAGTTGGGAGAGGGGTGCCTGGGTGGCTCAGTCAATTAAGTGTCTGCCTTGGGCCCAGGTCATGATCTCAGGGTCCCCGCTCAGTGGGGAGTCTGCTTCTCCCTCTCCCTCTGTGTCCTCCCCAAGTAAATAAATAAAATCTTTTTACTATTTTTTTAAATTTTTTAAATCTTTTTTTTTTTTTTAAAGATTTTATTTATTTGACAGAGAGATCACAAGTAGGCAGAGAGGCAGGCAGAGGGGTGAGGGGAAGCAGGCTCCCTGCTGAGCAGAGAGCCCGACGCAGGGCTCGATCCCAGGACCCTGGGATCATGACCTGAGCCGAAGGCAGAGGCTTAACCCACTGAGCCACCCAGGTGCCCCAATAAATAAAATCTTAAAAGGAAAAAAAAAAACATTGGGAGAGATCTTACCCATGTTCCAGTATTCCTTTTCCTCTGTTTCGATCATTCCACAAGGACTGTGAAGGCTTCAGGATTAATGTAAGGGAAGAGGTGGTAATCCAGTATGACGGGGAGCACGAGGGAACATTTCTTTTTTCCTTTTTTTTTTTTATTAGCATATAATGTATTATTAGTCCCAGGGGTACAGGTCTGTGAATCGCCAGGTTTACACACTTCACAGCACTCACCATAGCACATACCCTCCCCAAACGAGGGAACATTTCTTTTTTTTTTTTTTTTAATATTTTTATTTATTTATTTGACAGAGAGAGAGATCACAAGTAGACGGAGAGGCAGGCAGAGAGAGAGAGAGGGAGAAGCGGGCTCTCTGCTGAGCAGAGAGCCCGATGCGGGACTCGATCCCAGGACCCTGAGATCATGACCTGAGCCGAAGGCAGCGGATTAACCCACTGAGCCACCCAGGCGCCCCGAGCGAACATTTGATGTTGTATTTGCACAGCAAGCAGATAGCACCCCCTTCACTCATACACACACATGCACACATCCTCCAATGTCCGAATGTCTGGTGTGTTTGGAGGAAAACTTGATTTCAGATTCTTGAAGCAAGATAGCTGCAGATTTATTTAGGATAATAAATCAGCTGTGTAGGGGCCTACTACTACTACTTCAAGGTCTTGGATGGAAAAAAAATTGAAGCTTTGCTATATATTCTGGTCCAGAGGATCTTCCCAGTACTCGTATTTTCTCACCTCATTTGGGTTCCAAATCCCCAGCCCATCCCCTCACAGCTCCTTAGTCTTAAGCCACCTGGATATCTGGGGCCATCTGAAGTCGGATCCTTGGCTGGAAATGAAGGACACAATGGCCTGGAAATGAGGTGTATGTTTTCCCCTGCCCTCAGCAGGCCTGATGCCATCGAAGTATGAGCTAATCCAGACTCTTCCTTCTAAAGGCTGGGTGAGCACTCAACAGCCAGGGAGGAGAGAGGAAAAAAGTGAAGGAAAAGGAGTAGGGGGCTACTCAGCCTGCTAGAGAATTTCTCTTTAGGATTCTGGGGTAGCTGGGCCTCCCTATTGCTTTCAAAAATTTCAAAAACAGGGTGGATCTTAGTAGTGGTAGGATGGGTCTGCCATCACTTCCCTCCCCTTCTCCATAGCCCTGGGAAAGGCGAGAGAATCTCTGAGGTAGACCTTCCCACAGACTCTAATGGAATCAGGCTTCCTTTCTCAGCCAACTGTGGGTAAGCATTTTACTAATTCAGAAACAGCTGAGAGCAGACCGGCTGTGCTTCCACTCTGTGGGTTTTAGGGCGTTACTCTCACTCCTAAGCCTCTTTGTCTGCACTGGAAACCTGTCCAATTAGCTGTGACCTCTGATAAGTTCCAAATACTATCTTCCAATTTTTTTTGAGGGGGGGGGTCCCCCACTTTTTTTTTTTTAAAGATTTTATTTATCTGTTTGACAGACAGAGATCACAAGTAGGCAGAGAGGCAGGCGGAGAGAAAGGGGGAACCAGGCTCCCTGCTGAGCAGAGAGCCTGATGTGGGGCTCGATCCCAGGAACCTAAGATCATGACCTGAGCTGAAGACAGAGGCTTTAACCCACTGAGCCACCCAGGCGCCCCTCCCCCACTTCTTTAAATAACTTTTTTTTTAAAAAGATTTTATTTATTTATTTGGCAGACAGAGATCACAAGTAGGCAGAGAGGCAGACAGAGAGAGAGGGGGAAGCAGGTTCCCCGCTGAGCAGAGAGCCCAATGTGGGGCTTGATCCCAGGACCCTGGGATCATAACCTGAGCCGAAGGCAGAGGCTTTAACCCACGGAGCCACCCAGGTGCCCCCAAATAACTTTTTATAAACAATTTCAAAGTAAACCTTTAACCACTCATATAAATGGAAATGCACATATCCTAATATCAGTAGTTAGCAGAGATGACCAAGAAGGTCCCTTCTAAGGCACTCAGAGATGGTTTCCTCCCTCCAGAAGTTGGTCATGATTGCCAAGTGAGGTCTGGAAGTAAGAAGAGCACTTTCAGACAATGCCTGGGAGATGCACAGTGCTGCTTTTCTGGAAGGCATTTTGGCATTATGAATCTGGAACCTGGGAAAAATCAGCTGTTTCATTTCTAGGACTTAATCATAAGCTAAAAATCAGAGACTCAAAGATTTGAGTACAAAGATGTAATCACAGCACTATTAACAATAGCAAAAAAATGGTAGTAATTTAGGTTAACCATGGGAGGCTGGATGGTGAACGTCATTGCCTCACCATGAAATATCATATAGACATTTAAAGGGTCTTTATGTTTTTTATTTTTTAAAATATTTTATTTATTTATTTGACAGAAATCACAAGTAGGCAGAGAGGCAGGCAGAGACAGAGGGAGAGGCAGGCTCCCCGCCGAGCAGAGAGCCTGATGCTGGGCTCGATCCCAGGACCCTGGGATCATGACCTGAGCCAAAGGCAGAGGCTTTAACCCACTGAGCCACCCAGGCGCCCCGTCTTTATGTTTTCAATTGCACGAAATAGGGTTAACTAAAAAAAGCAGGTTATAAAGCAAGTAGAACATATTCCCGTCATACAAATGCTATAGCTATCCCTTTGCACGTACAGAAAAGACCAAAAGAAAAACAAAAAATATCTTAAACATTTGAATAAAAAGTTTATTATAGATTACAAGTATTTTTGATTATTCATGTTATGGGATTATGGGTGACTTCATTTTCCAAGTTTTTTACTTTTCTATCAGGGAAGAAAAAAAAGAAATTTCAAGAATGGTTGCCCCCTGCCAGCCACATCGCAGGATTGTCTTTCTCGTGCCCGCTTCATGCTGTACAGACAGACCCAGGTGTCTCTTCTTTTCCACATTGTGCTGTCCCCTCCCCAGCATGGCAGAAAATCATTTTGCCATCAGTAGAAGGTGAACAGAGGTCCATCTACTGGAGGAGAAAAAAGCCTTGCCGTCACACCAAGGCCTGAAAATTAAGTTTTGGATGACTTCCATCTTCCCTGCTTCAAGACTATGGCAAATACATGCTGAGAGGGCTTGGCTACAAGGCCATAAAGTTCAAATGACACCTTCCTTCCAGCTGGCTTGCTTTGGTGAGAGCCAAGGTGACGGGGTGAGCGTCAGAAAACCTGACCACAGCTCTTGGTACTATGTTCAAAAACAGCACCCACCCTCTCAGCCTACCTGATGAGGGATTTGTCCAGCAACCTGGGCGTCGGGATTCCTGGGCTCAAGGCCCCACCGGTGACTCAGTCATCCCCAGGCTGTGCCTCCTGGCCTCAGTTTACCTGGCTTGCTCTGTTGATACTCCCCACCTACTGCAGGGTGTTAATAGGGGTGTGGTGCTTTGAACTTCTCAGATGAAAGAGGCTGGGGAAGCAGCACCTAGTTATTATCCCCTATCCAGCTGAGCGTGGGAGTGGAGGTCGCCTGCTTTCATATACACCCAGCTAGAGGAGCGTCCTCATGGCCCCTCACTTTTGCCTTCTGCTGTCTAATGCCACTTCGGAACAGATTTTCCTAAGTCGAATTCTCCAGTCGCCCAAACCACCAGTGACCTAGCATCCCTTTGATTGCTGATTCAGTAATACTCTACAGGTGTTTAAATTCTGTCTCCTGATGGGCTACAGGTCCTGTGGGAGAAGGGCTGTGGCTTCTCACTATCTAGAATTCACAATTAAGAAGTCAGCGAAGTGAACAATGAGATAGGCTGACCAAAGTTCAAACTCCTCATCTGTTTCCTCACTGTAAGATGAGGCTTCCTAATATTCTGTCTTGTCTCAATCTCCAGGAGTTGCTGTGAGAGCCCCATGAGAAGCATGTGTGTGGAAGCACTTTGTAAAATGCCAAGCCCTTCTCGAGTGTTAACAGGACCAACTGTCTGCAAATATGACTTCTGGCACAACCACCATCTGTCCCCTGCTGCCTCCAGGCTGTGGCTGCAAAAAAAAAAAAAAAAAAAAAAAAAAAAAAAAAGGCCTGGGATGCCACCTATTGGTCAAAAGTATGAACTGCACTCAACCAGTTACAAGAAGAGCAAAAGCAAACCAGTTTCAACTCCAAAGCCATGTTCATTTTTGCCACACTCCTCACGATGTCATGTTATATACTTAATATTTTTCTTTAAATAACTCACTTTTTATATACAATTTCAAAGTAAACCTTTAATCACTCATACAAATGGAGAACTAGTTAACACCTGCCAAAAAGGAATACAACCGTAAAATAAATACCATGAAGATGAAACGTTCAGATCTGCCAGAAGCGTTGCCTATGAAAGCTCAAGCTCGAGTATCACCAACTATTAACAAAATCGCACAACTGGAGTCCACATGTCAGGCCTCTAGCACAGTCTGCCCCGTATAAAGAAATGACTCTTTGAGGAAAGGTGGCATTCCCTCTCGTCCTGCCTCAGCTCTCTGGGCCTGGATGGTTGGAAAAAGTTTAAAGTTTCAAAAAGTAGAAAATAAACCGTTGTATTTGTAGCATGTTCCATCACAGGCCAAGTGGGGCCAGCACCAAATTCCTGGCAATAGCACTGAGAGCTCATGACCACTGAGGGGTGGTGGGTGCTCGGCTCTGGCTGGGAAGATCGCTCTCGGCTCTGCAGTCTGCTGAGCTGTCCGCTGTCATGTTCTCTGGCGCAGGGTTACGCCTCTTGACCTCCAGCTTGCTGCTACAGCTGCATGGCTTCCTGCTCCACGGACTGGTCAGAGGGTGCCAGGTACTTCTCCTGGATGCCCAGGGTACTGAGGGAGGCTGAGTCAAGGCTGGTAGTGCGGGGAAGGACGCGAACTGGTGGGGGCAGGATCTGACCTCTATGGATGCTGGCTCTCCAACCCCATCTGGCAAGGGGCTCCCACCCTCTCCCTTTCTCACCCTGATAGCTCCAGGGCTGGGTCTGAGAATCCCCTCGAAACATCCAGACCCAAATGCTCCTGTGTTTGCCTCTTCCCCACGTGTCGCTGAGGCTCAAAGGACCGGAGAGAGCACGAACCCTCTGGCTGTTAGAGCATGTGCTCTCCAGCCAGACCACTGAGGGTTTAAATCCTGATTTTGCCACTTCCTCTCTTCTTGTCCATAAAATGGAGTTGCTGTGAGGATCAAATGAGACAATGAATACAAAGTGCCTAGTACGGCGCCTGGCACACAGCACTGCTTAGTAAGGGTTTCTGACTTCTCTTCTGCTGTGGGAGGAAACTCAGAGGAGTGCAAAGATGACAACAAATTTCTGCTTGGACTATTGGGTACCTTCTACCTCTCTCTAGGACAGTGGGGAAGTGGAGCAGGAAGGCTACAAATCAGATTCACAAAGGGAAAGACTGTGACACTGCTGAGGACGCCCTGGGAGGCTGGCCGACCTGAGGTCTGGGTGTGCGTCTGAGCAGGAGATGGCTGTTGGCCGTGCTAGGCTGGCTCACCATGGCTTTTCTACTAGATGACTCCAGTGTCAGAAACTGAGGTTCTCCAACCAGGGAGACCGAGGTTTGAACTGTTCTTCCAACACATTCAGGGACAAGGCCTTGTACCTGTCACTCTCAGAGCCCCAACTGCCTCATCTGTAAGAAGGGACTGAATGAGGGGCGCGTGGGTGGCTCAGTCAGTTAAGTGTCTGCCTTGGGCTCAGGTCATGATCCCAGGATTCTGGGATCAAGCCCTGCATCGGGCTCCCTGCTCAGCAGTGAGTCTGTTTCTGCCTCTCCCTCTCCCCCTCTATCTGCTTGTTCTTTTTCTTTTTTTTTTTTTTAAAGATTTTATTTATTTATTTGACAGACAGAGATCACAAGCAGGCAGAGAGGCAGGCAGAGAGAGGGGGAAGCAGGCTCCCCACTGAGCAGAGAGCCCGATGCGGGGCTCGATCCCAGGACCCTGGGATCATGACCTGAGCCAAAGGCAGAGGCATCAACCCACTGAGCCACCCAGGTGCCCCTGCTTGTTCTTTTTCAAATAAATAAAATCTTAAAAGGGGGTGGAGGCGCTTAATGAGGTTTAAAAGGGATCCTACAAGCAGGGTACGTAGCGCACTGACTGAATGATGTTCAGGTTATAGTCCTTCTCTCCCCTCTCTTATGGATCCAGCCACCAAAATCCATCTCACCGCTACTCAAACTGACCTGCAACCCTCGCCCCTTCCCCTTTGCTTTTCCTCAGGAGGTAATACCATGTTCCCGTGCGAGTCGTCCCTGAGATCACTCAGGATGAGTGGAATCTGTCCTGCTCGATGTGCAATAATCTGAAATGTGCCTTGTCTCCAACCTGTAGTCCATGTGCCTGAGCGGGGCTCACGAAAACCTGCATCTGTCTGACCATCTGTCCGGCCCGATCTCTGCTCCTAGCCAAAGCCCCGTCCTGCCCACGAGTCATGCTGTTCTACTTGCAACCCCCCAGACATACCTCATCCCTTTGTAGATACAAAGGGATGCCTTTGTATCTACTGTTCTCTCTGCCTTGAATTCCCTTTCCCTCTTCATCAGCCTGGCTAACCCTCACCTGAAGACAACACAGCTCATGGGCCGCCCCCTCCACGAAGCCTTCTTTACCTACACCTACCCATTCCTTGGCAGAGCAGACTTTCCCCTCCTCTATACCAGTCCTTAATCATCTTATACATAGGGTGAAGTTGAACCTTAAGAAGATTAGGAGATGGGGGCGCCTGGGTGGCTCAGTGGGTTAAGCCGCTGCCTTCGGCTCAGGTCATGATCTCAGGGTCCTGGGATCGAGTCCCGCATCGGGCTCTCTGCTCAGCAGGGAGCCTGCTTCCCTCTCTCTCTCTCTCTCTGCCTGCCTCTCTGTCTACTTGTGATCTCTCTCTGTCAAATAAATAAATAAAAAATCTTAAAAAAAAAAAAAAAAGATTAGGAGATGGGGAAGAATCTAAAATTAGCACAAATGTGTATGGTTCAAAAATAGCCTTGAGGGGTGCCTGGGTGGCTCAGTGGGTTAAGCCTCTGCCTTTGGCTCAGGTCATGATCCCAGGGTCTTGGGATCGAGTCCTGCATGGGGCTCTCTGCTTCAGCAGGGAGCCTGCTCCCCCCCGACTGTCTCTCTGCCTGCCTCTCTGCCTACTTGTGGTCTCTGTCTGTCAAATAAATAAATAAAATCTTAAAAAGAAAAAAACTAGCCTTGAAAATTCCTTAAATCATCTATAAAAAAGTATACAGTTCTATAAATAGAATCCTGCACGATTAACACGTACAAATGCAGAAAGTAATGCACCGTGTGCAAAAACTCATGCCACTACTGGAACGGCCCCTTCTCTTTCTTGCTGAGCACATGCAGCTGCACTTGCCGACCGTAACTGCAAGTGTGAGGCAGCGACACAGCCCCTTCCTGGAGCCCTACATGCTCTACTGCCACTATTTACATGTGTCTGTTTCCCTGGGAGCTTGGTCTCCCACCTGTGAAGGGGCTGCCACAGATCCGTTAAGTACTGGCTGGCATTCTCTTCCTCCGTGCCCAGGACTCTGGAGCCCCCTTGTCACCAGCACGCCATGTAGGTGTCGAATATCTGAAATTATCCTAGCTGGCCTGCATGTCCCTGTCCTGCCTCCCACATGGCCTCCATGACCTGATAGGCACCTACACATGACATTAGCTCCACTCCAACGGTCACTAATACAACTCTACTTCTGAAGGTCCAGCTGCCTCCCAGACAGCTCTGGCTGTCCTCATGGTCCCCTCCAACATAGCCCATGGGCCAGGGCCCATCCCTTCCACCCATGTGACAAACCTGCCCTTTCCTCACCTTGGGGCCAACACAACCACCCATACCACTGTATTAGCTGGAAACCTGCGAGTCGAACTTCTGCTCTACCTCCATTCATCCCATAACCATCCTGTCGCCAACTCTGGTAGCCCATCTCCTTTTATCCAATTCACACCCATCTTTCCATTCTCACCACTCATGTTTCATCTATTCTCAACTACAGACTGTGAACATTTTCCTGCCCCCACTCACATCCCTTAAATGCAAATTCTGCACTTGGAACGACTTTTTAAAAATGTACGCCCGATCATGTCACACTGTGCAGTCCTATGATGCTGGTTCCCACTGCCCTCCCATGAGCTGACGTCCACACTCCTTGGCAGGGCACGCAAGCCCCCCGCTGCCAGCCCTCTACTGTCCCTGCACCCCTACATCCCCCTGTCCCTTTCCCAGTCAGGACGCCAAGCACAGAGGCCCTCGCATCTCTCCCGAATGACCACCGTCCTTTCATTTCTCGGCATCTGTACTTGCTGTCCCTTCTAATCAGTCTACCCTCCCTTATCCTCAGGTACAAGCAATACTGAAGCCTAAGGGATCAGCCTTTGCACCTGAGAGACAATCACCAGGGAGCCCAACTGGTCATCATGAATCAGTCATCAACAAGAGTAGATGTGGCCATTCCTGAGCCCCATGTCTCCCCTTGGCTGTGGCTAAGAGGCTACAGAGCAAGGATACGAGGAGAAATGGAAGTCGGCTCCCATGGCAGCAGACATCATGGCCTCTAGGCTTCGCTGTTCTTGGACCCCGAAGCAGTAGCCATTGGCTTTATCCACCGCCTGCAGGACCCGCTGGATACTCTCCTTGTCCTGGCCAGGGAAGGGAGAGACAGCTCTGTGAATGAAACAGGTGTGTGGAACTAAGGCCGTACCAAACCGCCTGCAGTCCCCAAACATCCCCCTTGACCTTGCTCACGAAGCCTCTGAACATAAGGCTCCTGCGCCTGGAGTAGCTTTCCGTGTCCCGGGAACCCTGGCTACATCCGAGCTTTCCTGTCCACCAACCCACCCAAATCGGAACAGGTAAGCTCCTCTCTGCACACCCACGGTCCCCTGGGGCTACCCTCTTATAGCTTGGATCCTACCAGCTTACTACTGACAAGTTATTAACTCATCTGCCTCCCCTCTTCGACTTTGTACCCCATGAGGTCAGGGACTTATTTATTAAGGTAATCCTTGGTGCCTGGCACAGTCCTTAGCTAACCGTAGCTAACCATACATATATGATGGATTTGCTCATGCTCAGAACAGTGTTATGAACAGTTCATACATCACATGATGGGAAGGAGATGAAAATAATGCACGTATGAGTCGTCAGCACGATGACAGAAAGCGCTCAATAAGGGACAGTTGTTATGACTAATATTGTACGCCTCACTTTCTCATTTTAGAGGAGAAAATTGTGGCATTAAGTAGAGAAGAGACAAGCTCACTCAAGTTCACATACAGGGGCTGGGCACTACTTGGTAAAGTCAACAGGCAGTTGCCCATCCTGAAGGAGGCTGAGAGACCTGTCTTAGGCCTTGGTTACCTCCCTTGCTGACGATTTTCTGAAATCACCCATTTTCGCACTAATGAGGGAACATGTGTTCAGAGAACCCAGCAAGACAGAATCGATAAGGCCAAACTCTGGCCCACCTTCTTTACTGGAATCTTGCCCATGAGAGCCACTCGTCGGAAAACCAAGGGGACTGAATGATAGTTAGACCCAGGATAAAGACCACTGTCAAAGCCTCCTGTTCCCCTGGGTTGGTGAGATCCCAGGCACTGTCAGAGCCCAGGCAATGGCTAAGCCTCTTAGTCCCCAGTACCTGAATGTTGAGAGGAATGAAGGAGACCAGACTGTAGTCTTCAATGAGCTGCACGAGTTTCTCATTGAGCTGACGATAGTGGCGGAAGAAAGGGTCAGAAGCCAGGTGGTCGAGCAGGTAGGAGAGGTCCAGGACCTCTGTGTAGTAGTCCAGGTTGAAAGCTAAGGAGAGAAATTGGGTGTTCAGGAGCAGCTGACATGAGGCTAAAAGATCCGAGGACAGGGACCATATTTCCTTTCTTCCTTTTGTCTTCATTCACTCATTCATTCATTCCTTCAGTCATTCAACAAATATTTTTTGAGGCTCTGAAATGAGCTTACTCATAAGAAAATACTTGGTTTTACCCATCGGCTCTGTCATTTCCTAGCTAGATGGGACTGATGTGAGGATTAAATGCTCTAAGTCCCAGTGTCTGGTACACACAAGCACTTGGTCCACGGTAATAAATAACAGGACTGAATGTGTCCCAAGCACAGTGCTGGGTCCCTGCCGCATGGAGCTCACGGTCAGGCAGTCACACCCCCAGGACCTGGCACATGCACCATAGGACTTGCAGGGCACTTCTGGTATAAATCACTTTCCCTTTCTGGGCCAGCTCCTTCTGAATGTAAAATGAGGATACCAGACTAGATGACTCCAAGTTCTAGGAATGTAAACTTCCTCTAAGAGAAGGAAAGCAGGCCTCCCTGCACTGTCCATTTCTGCTGGAAAACTCGAGCACTTGGGTTACTCAACTGGTTTGTCCCAGAACGAGGCGAGGCAATCAGGCCGTTGGATTGACTGACTCACTCCCTACACCCAACATGGGGCTCCAACTCACATCCCCAAGATCAGAGTCACATGCTCCTCCAGCTGAGCCAGCAAGGGGCCCCTCTGTCTCCCGTCTTCTAACCAGAAACTGTCACCCCTCTGCCTGCAAGGACCAACGTCCTGGGCATTCCGACAAACTTCCTGGATTGCCTGACAGGTACATTCTTCCCCACGAATTAAGCAATTGGGAGCCAGGGGCAGCTGGGTTTGGATTTCATCTCAGCTAACATACTAGCTGTGTGACTGACCTTGGGTTATTCATATAATGTCTCTGGGCCTCAATGGCCTCATCTGATTTTCACATCAGTCTCTTACGAGGATGATGGGCAAGAGTCAGAGGCAGAAAGGTTAAGGACCACCACGTAGCTATCTGGGCTGGAGGCCAGGAAGGTGGGTGGGGAGAGGGGCTTGGGAAGACTGCAAATCTAGGCATAGATAAAATTGGGCTTCGGGGCTCACCAAGAGATGAACCAGGACTCTGGGCTGAGGCAGGCCCTCCAAGTTGCTGGCATCCCTCCATGCCCTGACTGACAACCAGTGGGCCTCCCGGGACAACGCTCTGACATGTCATGATCCTAACAACCTTTCTTCCTGTTCACTGCTTGTCATTTCAGCTTTTCTTCTCCACGTTCCTTTGTGGCTGGAGATGCTATTTAGAGAACTGAGGCCCAGTAGTAGCTCAGCACACTAATTTTGCAGGAATAAAGTGGTGGCCATAAGGCCCCTAGGCAACTCCCCTGCCTCCCGCTTCTCCCTCAGTCTTTCCCACCCTGATAAAGGCACCTCTGTTTGTCCACTGGCTCAGACAGAAACCTGACAGTGATCCTTAATTCCTTGGTCTCCATGTCCAATCCACCAGGAAACCCTGTTTCTTTCTTTCTTTCTTTCTTTTTTTTTTTTTTAAGATTTTATTTATTTATTTGACAGAGAGAAACAGTGAGAGAGAGAACACAGGCAGGGGGAGTGGGAGAGGGAGAAGCAGGTTTCCCACTGAGCAGGGAGGCCAATGTGGGGCTCGATCCCAGGACCCTGGGATAGGACCTGAGCTGAAGATAGACGCCCAACGACTGAGCCACCCAGGTCCCCCTAAATCCTATTTCTTGAGTGAGTTTTGGACCAATCTACTTCTCTCCATTCTCACTACCACTGTTTAGACTGCTGCAAAAACCTCCTCAAGGATCTTTGTTTGCATTCTTGCTCATTTCAATTCATTCTCCACAAAACAGCCAAAATGACGTTCTTAGTTCATGCGATTTCCTTACTTGATATTCATCAATGGCTTTCCCTGGTGCTTCAACAGTATAGGTTCTGGCCCCTGTCCACCTCTCTGACCTCATTTCCTACCACCCGTCCCTGACTACTACCTCACTACCCTGAGTTTCCCCTCTCTGCCCTCCACTTTTTCCCGTTAACACAAACAGCTCTTTCCCTAAGGACCTTTCCTCCTACTGGTCCCTCCACCTAAAACAGTCTTGCCTTGGCAGGCTCCTTCACACCATTCGGGTCTCAGCTCAGGTAGCACTGCTCACTCCCCTCACAGCCAACCACTCATTTTATTTTAATTCCTTTGCAGTACATATCACCGACTATATAGCTCTCTTGTCCCCAAAGCCCGGAATAATCTCTGGCCCAGAGTGGCACAAAACGAACAGGCAGGAATCAGGACCTGCCTGTGGCTATGATAAATAAGCCATGCATGGTCCCTGGAGGCAGCTCTCGTCAGCTGAGATCTGTTTCACTCCTGACTCCCTGACTGCCCAGAAGAGGAGCCCTCTCACCCAGCTTCCCATAGTGCTCAATGAGGTCCATCTTGGAGAGGAGGTTGACATGGGGCAGCTCCACATGCAGCATGGTGGCCAGGGACGTACACAGTACGGAGATGAACTTGGCCGGGTCTGTGCAGTAATGAGAATCCACCAGGTGAACAGCAGTCAGCTGGAAAAGGAGGAAGAGACAGAGTGAAAGGTCTGGTGAAGCAGGAAACATCAGGGCCTATGTCTTTCCCCAAAGACGGGGGACTCCTGAGGACAGAGGGCAAGCCTTCCCCATCAGTGTCCTCCTGCTTCAGCTTCATTCGATAGCGACACTCATTTCCTTCTGCCAGGAGATAAGGAGCATTTTTCCTTACAAGATGCCTTGCACTGTGCCCCCCAGTGGGCAACTGGCTCAATTCTGATCGCACCTGACTCTATTTCATTTACTTTTGCCCAGCAAGTCACAACAACAATCACCATACCGCTTTCTACATAACGCCTTCCACACTTCCAATAATCCCAAGTTGGGTACTAGCACATCCATTCTGCAGATGAGAAAACTGAGGTTCAGAGAAAGAAACTGACTTACCCAGGTCCACACAGCGAGTCAGTGGCAGAGCCTGAATTCGAACTCACACCAGTTTTACTCCCAAGCAACTCGGCCCCTACCTCGCTGTGTGACATGGGGGCGTGGCATCTGTCCTCCCTCTCAGTTCCTCCATCTGCAAAAGGAGCCTGCTCGACCCAAGACGCACCCTGAGGTCCCACTGCGCCATCTGAGAGAAGATGCTGCGCAGGGCTCCGTGGTGCGTGCAGAGCTCCACCTGGCCCGGGCAGTCGAAGAGGAAGTAGTGGCCGCGGAGGGGATCTAGCTTGGCACGCAGCCAGTCCAGGTTGGCCTCCAGGTACTCCATGCAGTAGAGTAGGCCGCCGTTGGGCCCCAGTCGCAGCGCTTCCATCACGTCGCCCAGCCCCACCAGCTCGCCCACGTCCACGGCGCACTCGTAAGGCAGCCCCTCGTTGGCTGGGTCCAGGTTCACCACCGCCACGCGCCGGCCCAGCGCGCGCAGGAACTCACTCATGCCCAGGCAGTAAGTGGTCTTCCCAGAGCCGGGCGGGCCGATCACCGCCTGCCCAAAGGCCGTGGTCGGGGCGGCGCCAGCCATGGGCGGCACGCTGGCCCGTGCGGGGCAGATAAGCTCGGCAGAGACACGAGCCGAAGGAGACGGGATCCCCGGAGCGCACTTCGATGGGGATCGACGTAGATCCCCGGAGGAAGTGCGGGTACCCGCGCAGTGGAAGGGGACCAATGGCCCGGTACTAACCGGAGTAGCACCCGACTTCCGGACGACGTCGGAAACGGCGGGGCCCGGAGAGGAAGTCCCGCCCCCCGACGTTGGCGCAACTTGGCGTCGGGGTGCGTGACGACACGGGGCCTTCTACCCGAGCTGGGGGTGGTGCCTGCGTGCGGCGCTGGGATCGCGTGGGCGACTCTAACCCAGGTTTTCCCGACCGTCTCCCGGTCCAAATTGGAAGAAAAAAGGGAAATCCAGTAGTGAACTTATTTATTCTCCCGTTAGGTCGCAGACCGGGGCCACCTCCCGCGGCCTTGCCGCTGCCTGTGCCAGCCAGTTAGGGGAGGAGGCAAGGAGCGCCCACCCTAAGATCGTCTCTTCCAAGCACCACGAGTCCTCTCCTCTTCCAGGTCCATTCCATCCTCTTTCTGACCTTTATAGTGACACCCCGCCCCCACGACGAAGACTGTGCTGAGAACTTCAGTCAATACAGCTGTTCAAGGTACTGGGGGAGGCAACGTGGGCAAGCTCAAACAGGGACTGGGGTTAGGAAACCAATGAGAGGTCATTAAGCCCTAATAGGAAAAGAGGACGTTAGAGCTTTGGGGAAAAATGCTCTTGAGGTAGAGAGCCAGAAGGCAAGTTCAGAATAAAGCACCTGAACATGCTGCACAGATTGCTGCTCCCCAAGTTCTTTAGGCTGTGGTCGGAGATAAGGCCAAGGCAGAGAGCTGCCCCTGTGCAGTTATGAGTGATATAAGAAAGGCCCGGAAACTGTCACTCAGGCTCTGAAGGCTTGTCCAAGGCACAGCTGGAACTCCTCACAAAGGTCATATCTGGTCGAAACTTCATGCTGGTGGGTGGTTGGCGTCGCAGCAGTGACTCCCCCTGGTCTTGAGGTAGGGGCTCATCATAGATGGTGGAGATGAGCCCCAAGCCAGTTCCACGGGGCCTCTTCAGTTGCCCAAATGGCTGTAGCTTCTCTCCATGGTACCTGCATTAATAAGGGCTCACAGTGAGAGGGCTGCTCTCAAACTCTTTATTAGGTTGGGAAAGGGCAGAGAAGCAGCTCTTAAATGGCTGGTTTGTTCCAAAGACAGAGCCTTTAAATCTGAATCTTTGCTCTTCAGCCTCCTTTATCTATTCAATGACAGTGCCGGCAACCTAGGGTTTCACATACTGCTTTCATTTAAAATAGTACACAGAGTTTAGAAAAACTGTCACCATTCTGTGACTTATAAGCACTCCCTAACAGCAATCATCAAGTCCAAACTCCTCAGACCATGGGGTATGACTGCCCTAAAGATCAATGATCCTGTCAAGCCTTAGGGCTTGGTCTTAAAAAGAAAAAAAAAAGTGCCAGACCTAGGTTTTCCTTTTAATTCTGCTTTGAAATTCATCCCCTCAGATGGAAGAAGTTAGGGGGAAACCAGGATATAGATGAAAGGCTAGCTGGGTCCCCCAGAGAAGTCCCTGGGTCATACTCACCCCAATCCACGCTTGCATCTAGGGTGCTGGCCATCACTATCCAGGGCCTCAGGCACCCCTGAACACTGGCTCCCCAGACCCTGGCCCTCAGCCCAGCCCTGCCGCTCCATCACCTTCCGTCCAATGCCCTGTGCAGGGAAGAGAGAAGACTCAAGAGTATGGGGCTCCTTGTTGGGGGTGGAGGGGAGGAGGAATGGGGACAGAGAAGGAATACAGAGGGGTCAATGGGCTAGGCACAGTGCTCACCTTGGTGTGGCGCTCAAAGGTGCCCACTTGGCATCTGATCACAGAGTCATCCTCCTGGCCATCACGGAGTCTTCTTTCCAGACGCATTTGGACAGAGTCTCGGGCATCTTTGTCGCCACCATCTGAGGAAGTAGAACTCAGTTTGCAGAAGGGCCTCTCTCAGCAGAGAGAGGGGGGGAAATAATCAGGTTTCTAGGACCTCCTCACAAGATTTACATATTTGTCTTTAGGGTTTTTTATTACTTTTCATTTTTTTTAAGATTTTATTTATTTATTTGACACAGAGAAAGAGATCACAAGTAGGCAGAGAGGCAGGCAGAGGGGGTGGAGGAAGCAGGCTTCCCACTGAGCAGAGAGCCCGATGCGGGGCTTGATTCCAGAACCCTGAGATCATGACCTGAGCCAAAGGCGGAGGCTTAACCCACTGAGCCACCCAGGCACCCCTTACTTTTTAAAAAAAAATTATTTATTTAAGAAAGAACACAAGCAGGGGGAGGGGTAGAGGGAGAGGGACAAGAAGACTCCCTGCTGAGCAGGGAGCCCAGCTCAAGACTCAGTCCCAGGACCCTGGGATCATGACCTGAGCCGAGGGCAGGCATTCAAATGAGCCACCCAGAAGCCCCTGGTGTTTTATTATTTTATTATTATTTCTCTCATTAACTGGGAGCTCACCAAGAGTAGGAACCCTGGCTTTCCCATCTTACAGATGAGGAAACTACTGCACAAAAGTTATAGAGCCGGGGCGCCTGGGTGGCTCAGTGGGTTAAAGCCTCTGCCTTCGGCTCGGGTCATGATCTCGGCGTTCTGGGATCAAGCCCCGCATAGGGCTCTCTGCTCGGCGGAGAGTCTGCTTCCCCCTCCCTCTCTCTCTCTGTCTGCCTCTCTACTTGTGGTCTCTGTCTGTCAAATGAATAAATTAAAAAAAAAAAAAAAAAAAGTTATAGAGCCAAAAGATGAGAAGTGGAATTAGAACCCAGATCTTCCCCTCCCACCGTCACCCCAGGTCATTTTTGGTGATTCCAGAATCTAAACTCTTAACCAGAGCTCCTGACCCTCCCACTCTACCAGGGTCTGCCCATCAGAACCAGAGCGCCCTGAGGGCTGACTCCACAGAAAAAAGAAAAAAAAAAAGCTCTGCCCACAAGCAGCACTTAATGCACACAGGTGGAGATGTTTGAAGAGAGGAACCCTCTCAGTGGGCAGCCCCAAGGGAACTGGTCCTTTCTCAGCCTCTGCTCAGCAGGCCTGGTAAGTGTCACTGCAAGGCCAGGGCACCAGTCCCCCGTCCCTGTATTGCAATCCCCGGCCCAGTACCTGTGTCGTAGTACACACTCATGTCCACGTCCCAGTCATCGGCTGTCTGTTCATCAAAGTCTGCAGATAAAAAGCATTAAACAGAGTAAGCGAAGGACTCACAGTTCTGTTGAGAGTTAAATCTAAACTTAGACCTGTGTTCTAGAACTTGGAGCTTTTCACTGATTTTTAAATCTCTCCTCTGGGGTGGGGGTCATTTTTTCTCCACTGATCCCCCACCCCTAAAAAGGAATGATGGGTAAGGCTGTTCACTAGCCCTTTATCAGGCCTCACTGCCAGAAAACCCACCATGTGGAATGGAGAACCCTGACTGAATGGATCAGGGATCAGCCAGCATTACCTCCTTCTTCCTCCTGCCAGAACTGAGCGTCTGTGTAGAACACCAGGCCAGAGCCGCCCTTCTCCCACTTCAGCTCAATCTCCTCCTCAAAGAGCCGCTCGGTGGTGCGCTCCTGCCCGGTCACGTCCTCGTGCAGTGCTTCGTGACGCTCCCACTCCTCACCCCGGTCATCATCCTGGGAGAAGGCAGGGAGAGGTGACCTGCCTGTCCAGCCTCCTGGCCTCAAGCCCGCAAGGGAGGCAGCTCAGGGCCCAGGAAGTCTGTGAGACAGGCGCTGAGCCCATTCTTCCAAATTTCTCTTAGAAGCAGTGCATATTTGGCCCCTGAGGCCTTGCCCAACACATTTCTCCATCCCTTGTGTCTCAGCATACCTGGCACTTTCCTCCAAGCCTGACTCCCTCTTAACCTCTGTGCTTTCAGCCATGTTGTTCCACCTGCTGGAAACAGCTGCTCTCCTCTCCCACTACTTTCTCTTCTTCGCCTGGTAAATCCTCATCCTTCAGGTTCTACAGTCCTACACGAAGCCCCCACACCGAGGCCCACAGCATTCTTGCCAGCCTCCAAACTCTTCAGTCTGGAGGTAATTGGCAAGAACTGTTTGGGCCTCTATACATTACATCATAACAACTAACACCTGTTGTCTACTGTGTGTTGGGCCTTTCTCATAACTTAGTTCCTTTGATCACCCCAACAACGCTGTGAGGTGAGTACCATCATTCCTGTTCTACAAATGAGGAGACCTGGATTCAGAGGAGTAAAGTGATTTGCCTACGATGGTTCACCATGAGAGTGGCAGAGCCAGCGTTCAAACCCAGGTCATCATACCATACAGCCTTTCCTGATGCTGCTGCTTGCCTCTTTCAAGGCAGGAAATGGATCTTGGAATGTCTCTGGAATCCTGCACTAGCCTGTGCACAGCTGCTCATCTAGACGTGCAGAATGATAGGATGACTCCTGGCTTGAAATCTTGGGGGCCCCTGTCTAGTTAAAACTCCCAAGAGTCCTCAGGGATCACTGCTGCAGAGCAGGTGCTGGGGACCAGTCCAGACAGTCTATACCAAGGATGTTAGCAACTCTGGGCTGGCAACTTTGAAGACGTAGATGACTTTTTTTTTTTTAACCCAGAGTATGCACACCAAAAGGTTTCCCCAAAAAAGCACACCTTTCCTGGTTTTATGGATGAACAACTGAGTTTGGAGAAAGAGGTAGAAGAAATGGCTATTTCATTGATAAAATTAGAGTGGAGGCTAGTGTCCAAGCCACAGACTCAGGGTCAGAAAATAGAGGTGACTTCTCAGCCACATACTGAAAGCACACAGATGTTAGACAAGCAGCAAAGGGGGCCAAGTTCACATCCCAGCTCTGCCTCTACTTCCTTACATGACTTTTATCTCTTGGATCACACATTTCCATTTATGAAATGGACGCTCCGGGGGCGCCTGGGTGACTCAGTAGGTTAAAGCCTCTGCCTTTGGCTCAGGTCATGATCCCAGAGTCCTGGGATCAAGCCCCGAGTCGGGCTCTCTGCTCAGCAGGGAGCCTGCTTCCTCCCTCTCTCTCTCTCTGCCTGCCTCTCTGCCTACTTGTGATCTCTGTCAAATAAATAAATAAAATCTTAAAAAAAAAAAAAAGTACGCTCCTCACATTCCTTCTATGTGGAATGCAAAGACGACCCCTTTGAGCATATTCTGATAAAAACTCTGGCCCCTCTCCTC